ATATATATATAATATATAAAGCTACATATTATTGTTCTATATTCATAAGTTACAATATTAGTGTCTAAAATGTGTTATGATTATGAATAGTCAGCTAATTATTTGGGGGAAATTCAACTATAAAACAACTATACTGTACTAGCACATCTACAGTTGACGATATAATATGGTCTCTGGTAATTTAATTGCCAAATTACTAGATGAGATACTAGCACATGATGTTCCCTACTGGTTTCTAGCTGTGATGTCATGCATTTCATTGATGTAAATGACTGAAAACACCAGGAGAAGTGTTGTCTCTTTATTGATGGCTACATTGTAAGTGTATCTCTTTTTATATCACAATACTCATTACACTTAAAATAAATCTACTTTTAATGAATTCTGACTGCTGTGCATTAATTACACCATTGGTTTCAGTACAACCTCAACAAAACGGCTGCCTGTGACTTTTGTTCAGAAGTTATTGATTGCTTCTAATTTTAGCAACGCAAAGTTAATGGAATGTTCTCTGTCACCTCAATTTAGCATGTAGAAGAGTCCTATTAATCTCTCATAATTAGATAAACATGCAAGTGAATTCTCTGTCAGAGAATGAGCAGACATCATCAGTTCAGAGATTGGGGCTGATTTACGTGGCCTTGCCAAAATTCGTACGGTTGGTGGCCCCACTGGCTTGACAAGAGTCGATTACACAATTGACTTTTCTTCAAGAAGCTACTGACTGCTGCCAAGTAGCTGCAGTAACTATTCATATATTCTGACTGTATGAATGAAATAACCACAGTAGGAGATTCGTTCATCTACGGTGTTTAGTGTGGATGGAGGAAAATGCTAGATTTTTTTCACTCAGCCCCCAAGCTGAAGGAAAAAAAACAATTTCTGTATGGTCAGCTTAATGGAGTAGACACCGTTCACCTTAGTATATCACTTTGTAAAGTGAATGTTCACTAAGCTAATGAGTTTACTAAATAAGGTGAAGCTGTGTTCACTGCAGGGCTTGTTCACACCCAAAGCGGTGCGTTCCAGAGCTGTAGCTGCTGGAACGCACCGTGATCTTCCCCCTGCGTTCTGGGGCGGTAGGGGGGCGTGGCGGTGCATTGAATTCAATGGCACCGCTTCCATGCCCCCCTGCCCGCAGTGCGATCGGACGCGTGGCAAAACTTTGTTCCACTGCAAACGCAAAAATAGAGCAAGCCCTTTTTTTTGCGTGGAACAGAACGCAGGCAAAGTTTTGCTACGTGTCCGATCGCACTGCGGGCACGGGGACAGGGGAGCAGTGCCATTGAATTCAATGCACCGCCACGCCCCCTCCCGCCCCAGAAGACAGGGGGAAATTTTGGGAGCGATCGCGGTGTTTTCCAGCAGCTACTGAACAAGACCTCAATTATACAGCTATCTGTATGCAAAAATCAATTTTCTAAAATTGTTCTCAAACATGATTGGGTATTCACAGTGAACACAGTTTTAACTTATTTACTAAGCTCAGTGAACATTTGTCAAGTAAGCAGTCTCTATTGCTTCAAATTAAACCACAAAATCTAATTTTTTTGTGTAGAATTCCTAGGACAAGTGTTGTTCATGCTTCTAAAAGGCCCAAGGATGCATGGTGTTTATAAGCCATATTTGATCATTTTACATAGCACTATAATTTTACATTTATATAAACTGGAAAAATAGTATAAATGCTGAAAGCAACCATGGTACTGCAGCTCACCCATCATTATCTCAGGCAGTTTTATAAAACATGATATCTATCATCCAACTGGTTACTATGAACCACCACAATTTCTATTTTACATTGTTTTCTTTGGTATTTAGAATACCACCACCACCAACAACAACATTTTTCAGCAGTAGATATGGTGCTCTCAAAGCGGAACTACAACCTCCTATTATTTATAGTCAATGAAGGCGCCATCTTGGACTTTATTTGGTTTGCAGTTGCCATGATGCTGCACATGTGATCAGCTATGACAGTTGACATTTGATTGAAGGCTTGAAAATGCGAATGAGAGTAGATTGTGGCATATTCATGTGCTTGGGCAAAACGCGCTGAATCTGCTCAGAAATTAATGCGTGTTTTTCAAGCGTTTTATATTGAGTCAATTGGGAGAAAATGCCCTGAATCTGCCCCAAAGTAGCGTATGTAGTATTTCATGCGACAGGTGTATTTCTGCTTGCGACAAAATGCCCAGATGTGAACAGGGGCCATAGAACTGAATTGGATTCCTGGGGCTGAGCGTTTTGTTGTGCTGATTGATGCGCGACAATACGCTTAAGTGTGAATGGAGCCTGACAGTTGGCATGCTTTAAAAGTGACTGTTTTGGGAGACATTAAATTGGTGGGTAAAATTCCTCTTTAATTACAATGCCCCTTAACAAATCCCCTGAACAAATAAGTCTTACATGTTCATAAAAACACTAAAGAAATGTGAATCCATCCAGATGCGATATTTCAGTTTTGCATGGTTGTTTGCAAATGGAATGACATGCTGGCTCCGTATAGCTGTCAGAGATTACAGTTGTGTGATACCCCCAATTAAATTTTGAGTTCCACCCAAATGCTGCAACCATCACACAACCAAGCGGTGGTGCCACACTCCACTGATGGATTCTCGATTAATGTTAAATAAATACCTTTAGCGGCAGATCACATCATTATGCATGCATGGGAGCGGGAGAAGACTCAAACTACCATGGAGAAATCCCTAAATGACACAACATTTTAATCAGTGCTGGTCATCCAAAACGAAAGCAACAGATGTGACAAAATTACGCACGTTGAGGTAACATTCGTGTTACCTCATTCCATAAAGTTGGCCATACACGGAACAAATTCCGTTGGCCTTGTAAGCACCCCTGCGCTCAGAAGAAGTTAATTTATCAACTGACTTCTGCTGAAGGAGCTGGTCCACAAATTTGCGGATGAACAGTGACTGTAGCCAATTAGATGCCAGGCAGCTGCGGCATACAATAGCTGCTAGTGCGAGATTCAGCCACTGACACTGTTTAGCGTGGTTGGACAATTCTGTTAGTGTGTGACCAGCTTAAGGCACCGTTCACATTGAGCGATTTATCGCGCGGTAATTTCCGCGATATCGCGGCAATTTACCGCGCGATATCGCTCTCCAATGCTTCTCAATGGGGCAAAAGGTCCTGCTGTCGCGGGTCGTGTGTCGCTACAGCAGGACCCTTTTTGGAGCGGATTTAGCCGCGATTCAAGCTTGCTCAATGCAAGCATTTGCGCGATATCGCGCGACAAATCGCGCGATATCGCGCAAAATGCAAATCGCGCGACAAACGCGCGATTTGCGAACCGCTCAATGTGAACGGGGCCTTAGTGTTATCCAATCTGTACTGCATGCTCCATTTCCCTAACCAGCCAATCAGTGACTCTTTCTGAACACAGTCTCTGGATCATGTCTGCAGGCATGTGATGCCCCTAGTCACAGCTAGACCTGTTAACTGCAGCAAGGGAGAGACTGAAGCAGTTGTTAGGTTAGTATAAAAATGTTTTAGTCGCACGTGGCAGTAGTGGTCGTGAAAAAGCTGTTGTTCTGAGGATCTAGGTCAACGTTAGGAAAATGTATATTCATAAAGTTGGAGGGGAGGGGAGTTGGTCCTCTAAATACATTTTAGAGGACTAAATCGTAGACTAAATTTGAACTTGAGCTATTGAGCTATGTAAACAAGAACTTTTAAAAATAGCTAAGGCCTTGTAGTAAAACTGAAATACAAATATGCAATAGTTCATATTTACCTGACAATTTCTTTTTGGTCCTAAACATAAATAAAGAAAATCTATACAAAAACAATACACATTCCCTAAAAATGAGGGTCACCCTAGTCTTGTTCCGTGGAATATATAAAAGGCTCCAAAAATAAATTTTAACAAAGCCAAAGAAAATGATTGTTAAATCCCAATGCAAGGGTTCTATATCACGTATTTGTTAGCACTTACTATGCCATACTTCTGTCACCTAATGATTGCCAAAATCTGACTGACAGCTGTGTTATTTCATTAAAAAGGCTCATTATAAATATTGCTCTGAGGTCCCGTTCACACCGGGGCGGTTTGGCTCCACGCGATCCGAAACCGCCCCCCTGCCCGAAATGCTCCCTGACCCTTTTTTTTGATCAGTGCGGTTTCCAAACAGCTTTCAATGGAACCATGCTGATCAGCGCGGTTTTGGGCGTTCTTAATTGTGTTTCAGCGCTGAAATGCAATGTAAAACTCCCAAAACCTCCCTTTTGAAATAGGCACGGAAACCGCGCTGATCTGCAGTAGCCCTGCTGTGAATGGGCTCTAATGCAGCCAAACTGAATAGGCATCTTTGATAGGTTTTCATAGATATCATACAGTTCAGACTACATATTCAATGGGTTCGATTTACTAAAGGCAATTAGGCTGTTCACTTTGCAGGGAAGTTCCCCTTAGTTTCGTGAATGAGGTGAAGGTCTACTGACTTCCATCATCCAATCATGTGCAAGCAAAAATACAATTTTTTAATGCTCCCTGCACATGATTGATTATTTGATGCATTTGTGTCATCATTTTACCCATACCTCAAATCCAGTTGAAAAATTC